GTCAGTTTGCATGCGGTTTCGATATGGAATGGTAGTGTTGGGTCAAATAAAATATTTCGTATTAACATTATTTTCTTTTTATGAATAATAACGTACAACACATCTGCGATACACGCAACTATACTAAGTGACATATAAATCCGAACACCCAGTTGAGATGGTTTTATTTTAATAAAATTTTGTATAAGTACTTAATGAAGCATAATAAGTAAATGATAAAAATTTCAAAATGATTGCACTGCTTTAAAGCGCTATGACCTTTAATAATGTGTGGATACACCCTGATGTGCTACGCATTCTCCAACGTGCCTAGGCATGCTTCTGATCAGGTGGTCAATGTCCTCCTGTGGTATCTCATTCCAGGCGACCACCAACTCCTCTCGAAGTGCTTCTAGAGTCTGAGGAGGACGTTGCAAATTGAGCAATCTCCTACCCATCATATCCCACACGTGCTCAATTGGGGATAAGTCGGGAGATCTTGGTGGCCATGGTAACAATGTGGCATCATTATGTTGAAAGAAGTCTATTGTGACTCTTGCAACATGTGGTCGGGCTTTATCTTGTTGGAATGTTGGATCTGCCAGGGTGTCAAGATAGGGTAAAAGATGGGGTTCTAGAACTTCGTGGATATAACGCTGCGCGTTCATGTTACCTCTGATGAAGATTAAAGGTGACCTGGAACCATAAGCTATAGCACCCCAAACCATAACTCCAACAGTGTGATGAACATGTCTTTCAACAAAAAACTGTGGATTCCTCCTTTCACCACGTCGCCTTCTAACCCTGGCACGACCATCGTGCATGCCTAAACAAAATCGAGACTCGTCACTAAAGACAATACTGTTCCATTCCTGATCCCAGAGTGACCGTTGTCTGCACCACTCAAGGCGATTACGTCGGTGTAAGGGTTTGAAGGCGACGCGGTGAAAGGAGGAATCCACAGTTTTTTGTTGAAAGACATGTTCATCACACTGTTGGAGTTATGGTTTGGGGTGCTATAGCTTATGGTTCCAGGTCACCTTTAATCTTCATCAGAGGTAACATGAACGCGCAGCGTTATATCCACGAAGTTCTAGAACCCCATCTTTTACCCTATCTTGACACCCTGGCAGATCGAACTTTCCAACAAGATAATGCCCGACCACATGTTGCAAGAGTCACAATAGACTTCTTTCAACATAATGATGTCACATTGTTACCATGGCCACCAAGATCTCCCGACTTATCCCCAATTGAGCACGTGTGGGATATGATGGGTAGGAGATTGCTCAATTTGCAACGTCCTCCTCAGACTCTAGAAGCACTTCGAGAGGAGTTGGTGGTTGCCTGGAATGAGATACCGCAGGAGGACATTGACCACCTGATCAGAAGCATGCCTAGGCGCGTTGGAGAATGCGTAGCACATCAGGGTGCATCCACACATTATTAAAGGTCAAAGGGCTTTAAAGCAGTGCAATCATTTTGAAATTTTTATCATTTACTTATTATACTTCATTAAGTACTTATACAAAATTTTATTAAAATAAAACCATTTAAACTGGGTGTTCGGATTTATATGTCACTTAGTATATATTATACTCTAACATCTTGAAATCCAACGTACACCACTAACTTCGACGATAGTCAGAACACTACTGCGAAAATTGCAACCGCATCTGCAGGCCTCCGTTATGCCGTGCCTAGAGCCCAAACCAACAAAGAGTAAGTCCGAAACTGCAAGCATGCGCAGATCGCGCGCTAGCTCTATCTCTCTTACTCGCCTACAGAGGATCTGTAAAAGAATTTATCAATCCTGGCGGTCCTAACAAGGATAATGGAAAACTGTTAGTCCTTGATACGTGTGCGAAGTTCCAAATTAATCAAACTTCTGGTAATTGGTGATTATGCTCAACGATTCCGCTACATACATACTCACATAAATACAGGCCAAGCTAAGAAAAGCATATTAAAAAGGACTTGAAACGTATTAAAATTCAAATTTTATCTCAAATCAAAAAGATAGAAGTAGTGCACTTAGTGCGCTTAGAACGAACTTTTATTACTTCGGGATAGTCGATAGCGTGATGAATAATAAAGATGCCTCTTAGTTTCCTTACACAAACTTTAATATTCCTATTAGGCCAGGAGTAAACTTCATATTCGTGGGAGAGATTTTTCAACGCGATATTGTTTTTCCAGGTACATCTTTGTTACATGGCTTAAGTTGCCGGGCAAACTCGTTTAAATATTTCCTTTAGCAAATTAGAATTTTTTCGCTTCGGACGAAGATTTTTCAGCTTCATTCTGAACGAGAAAGGTGAGGATCTGAAAATGGGCAACTTTACTGAGGGTAAAGTTGTCCATTTTTGAGGTATAACTATAACCGTTACTATTAAAATCATTACATTGGGGTTGTCAAATGGCTAAGTTAAAGTTCAAGCTCTTTCCTACAAGACCTCAAAGATTATTTCGGAATCAGTTTACTGTAAAGCATTGCTATTTTATGGTTAATAACACGTGCTCGCGTGGTAAAGCGCTTCTTCCATCTGCTCGAAGAACGCGAGCGTCTTAAAACCGTTAAATAACAATGATTTAGAACAAACTAAAGAAATCGCGTCAAGGAAGTTGATTCAGTACTTTCAACGAAGCGCGGTCATCAGTTATGCTTGGCACAAGTTAGCTCTTCTGAGAAATAAGTTAGCTACGAACATGTATCACAATAAATAATGTTAAAAAAAAATAAAAAAGAGTTTATATTACAATAGTAGATGGTCGGACAATCAATCATAGTTAATCACCTCAAAATAAAATTATAATAAAATTTAAGTTATTAGCAGAATAATTCAATTAATATTAAAAAGCGTGGGGTCCTGATATATTGAATGTTACAACCATTCTATTGGTAACTATCTATGTAGTAAAATGCACCAAACGCTTTTTACTCTGAATTAGGTGAAAATTATGGTCAAAGATGCCGTTACATACATACAGGCCAAGCTAATTAAAGAAAGGTATACCACAATCTGTTGCCTGTGAGGATTGAGCTCACGGTCCCTGGTTTACAAGACCAGTGCTCCGCCAAAGGTACCTTGATATTATTTTGTGTTTGTTAAAATTAAAGCCAATGAATTTTATGCCAAAACTTTTAGAACATATTATAACAACCAAAAAACGTAACATCTCAATACCGATTAGAATACCTCGACAGTAGCCGTGAGAAGTGAAACCTTCCGATGCTCAGCCTCTGCTGAATCGTTTATATACTAAGTGACATATAAATCCGAACACCCAGTTTAAATGGTTTTATTTTATTAAAAGTTGGTGAATGTATTTATCTTACTGTAAATAACAAGTGAAAAAATGTTCAGCCTTATCAGTTGGACATTCCGGTTTTTATACAGCTTTTTTTTTAATTCACTAACGCTCTAAAAATGAATATTTCAGCCGCAGTAAAGTATCAACGTTGGCGGATTTTGGTTCTTGACATCCTTTACGATCGGTTACGATGCCTAGAGTACGGAGACCTGTACGATTTCGTCAACTTAGTGAGCTTGATAGGGGCCGTATAGTGAGACTTCGGGAAGCTGGACTTTCTTTTCGGGCAATTGCAGTTAGAGTGCAAAGAAGTGTAGACACTGTGGGTAGGTGTTGTCAGGCATGGCTTCGAGAAGGCCGTACGCAAAGAGCAAGGGGCACTGGACGCCGCCGTAGAACAAGAGACCGTGAAGATCGCCGCCTAAGATTATTGGCCTTAAGGGACCGTTTCTCCACTACCAAGTCCATTGCAAATGAATGGTTTGCAGAACACGGAAGACCTATTGGCATGCGAAGTGTTTACCGAAGAATGAAAAGTTTTGGCTTGTTTTTATACCGGCCACACTGCGTCCTCCCTTTAACTCGAGAACACCGACGTAATCGTCTTGAGTGGTGCAGACAACGGTCACTCTGGGATCAGGAATGGAACAGTATTGTCTTTAGTGACGAGTCTCGATTTTGTTTAGGCATGCACGATGGTCGTGCCAGGGTTAGAAGGCGACGTGGTGAAAGGAGGAATCCACAGTTTTTTGTTGAAAGACATGTTCATCACACTGTTGGAGTTATGGTTTGGGGTGCTATAGCTTATGGTTCCAGGTCACCTTTAATCTTCATCGGAGGTAACATGAACGCGCAGCGTTATATCCACGAAGCTCAAGAACCCCATCTTTTACCCTATCTTGATACCCTGGCAGATCCAACTTTCCAACAAGATAATGCCCGACCACATGTTGCAAGAGTCACAATAGACTTCTTTCAACATAATGATGTCACATTGTTACCATGGCCACCAAGATCTCCCGACTTATCCCCAATTGAGCACGTGTGGGATATGATGGGTAGGAGATTGCTCAATTTGCAACGTCCTCCTCAGACTCTAGAAGCACTTCGAGAGGAGTTGGTGGTTGCCTGGAATGAGATACCACAGGAGGACATTGACCACCTGATCAGAAGCATGCCTAGGCGCGTTGGAGAATGCGTAGCACATCAGGGTGCATCCACACATTATTAAAGGTCAAAGGGCTTTAAAGCAGTGCAATCATTTTGAAATTTTTATCATTTACTTATTATGCTTCATTAAGTGCTTATACAAAGTTTTATTATAATAAAACCATTTAAACTGGGTGTTTGGATTTATATGTCACTTAGTATACTTCAAAGACCAGGAAGTATGTTCACACCTGTTCGAAAAATATTATGAATCGGTTTGTTGCATAATCTTAATCAAAAAGGACCGGTTTTAAAGGAGCTGCATGTTGCCAGGCCCAAAAATGCGTCAAAAATTGAATGACCCAGATAGCGGCACGAAAATTAATACACATCGGCATGCGCTCGAACCAATTTTCGGAGCACTCATTCCACTCGTTTGCTGGCAGATTCAAAACGGCATTTTTGAATGCGTCAACTGCTTCTTTTGGTGACTGGAACTTTTGACCACGCAGTCTATTTTTAATTTTCGGGAAAGTAAAGAAATCGTTAGGACTTAGATCGGGATTATATGGAGAATGGTCCAATAATTCCACGTTTTCTTCCGTTAAATACTGCCTTGTTTTTTGGGCTGTGTGCGAGCTTGCATTGTCTTGGTGGAGGATGATTCTACTTTCGGGGTTGATTTTTCGAAGCTCGGTGATGATTTTTGGCAAACAAATGGTGGTATACCAATCCGCAGTAACATTTCTTTGCTTATTAAGAGGAATTGTTGCAATATGACCCATTTGACACAAATGTCGCGACCATCTTTTTCGAAACACTTCGAGAACGGATTACCTTTGTTGGCTTTTCTTCACCTTGGAACACCCAAACAGCCGACTGTCGTTTATTTTCTGGTTCATAACAGTAAATCCACGTTTCATCATCACTAACAATGCTGTACATATTTTTTGAGTTTCCGGAATTGAAACGGTCAAGCGTTTTTTGACACCAATTAACCCTGGCTGCTTTCTGCTCTTCAGTCAACAGGTGGGGTATCCAACGAGAAACTAATTTTCCTATTCCTAATTCTTCATGTAAAATTTTTTGAATTGAGGCCTTTGAGATCTTCAAGGACGCCTCAATCTCGCGATATGTCACATGTCTATCTTCAATGATAAGTTTGCGTACAAAATCGACGTTTTCCTGGGTGATTGCCGTTTTTGGTGCACCCACCCTGGGATCATCGCTAAGACTCACCCGTCCACCAAAACAGACAGTAACTCAACAAGACATTCTTGTTGCGATAATTGTCTCTGAAGGTTGTAATAAATTATGGCGCGAAAATGTTCTCGGTTGAGTTCCATTTATCTAATGACTTGGCGACACTTAAAAATTCACTGTAGTGACAACACTACACGTATTGTTGTGAAACTTTGAATTTAAGTTTACTAAAGAGTGAGGTTAAGATTCAGTACTGACGTTCGATCCGTGTGGCCTACTACGTTCCTATATGCAAAACTAAAATGCTTGGGATTGCTTTGGGGTCGAAGATGGAATATTTCGTACTTTTTCCAATATCAAATCGCGTATATCTCGAAAACTTTCAGCTTTAGAGGAAACTTTATAAGAGCTTTATTTGTTCAGAATTATCCGAAAAACCTAAAAAGTATTTTTTCCCGCGCGGAATGAAAACATTTCTGGAATTTGTTTAAACAGCTGTATATACAAAGGGTATAAAGTTTTGCAATATCACGTAACAAATGGACGCGGGAGGCTGCAACATGAAACATGTCCATGAGTGTATACTAGCCGCGAGCAGCACTCTGTCGAACTTTATACATACAGAACTGGTGGATACGATCGCTCCGTTGTTCGTAGGCTTATCTAGATTATTGAACAACCTCTCTGAGGAGGTTTTCCCGAAAAATCTGCGACTGTGTCAGTGTAAAAGAATGATGTTTTATGCCAGAGCACCGTGGCTGCTATGAAGAGCTTAAAGAAACTTTGTTGATCCGATTTTTGAACTGTCTAAGGTTAGTAGAACTGGGAAAAGTCTCTTCAGAAATCTCGATACCCTAGAGACAAAGGAGCGGTCGTATCGGCCAGTTCTGGATGCACGCAAATCGCTAAGACCGATCCCTGAGGAGCACCCGCGTTGACATTGTGGAATGAAGAGGAGAACACGTCGATTACGATGGATACCTTGCGGCTAGATAGGAAGTCAGCCACCCATCTGCAAAGCTTTTCTGGGAGGCAATAGGATGGAAGTTTACATGCGGCATGCCCTAAATGATCGAAGGCTGTCGTGATATGAAGAGCAACGACATTATAACACTGGATGAGTTTGCTCCACAGTTGACATGAACTGTGCTGAGCCATTCATCACCACTGAATCACTAGCCTGTCATCGTTGAACCAAGAACTAATTAGAGAATCATTAATTAAGATAACTGATACAAGCATTGTTACATCTCAAAGAAAGCTATAAATAATATATCATCCGATGGAACTTAACTGGATTATAGTGAGTCGCTATGAAAATGTTACAGCCCTTTTTCCACATCGACGACAGGCATGTGATGATATAGTAAAAGCCCTGGAACGGGTATCATGTGCAATTTTCCACCGCTCTTTTATGATGGGTAATTTGATCCGGTGGAGTTGTTAACGTGTCATGCCGACATACAATACGGACATACGTCGATAAAGAAAACATAACCCCTTTATATTTGTTTTCCGACCCGGTTATACTACAAGAAATAACACTACTTCATTAGGAGCACAATATGCAGATCACGAAAGCAATAATAAATGGTTTTTATCCCAATGATAAGGACACAAAAAAATACAAAGAACTTAAACAAATTCTAGTCACTCTTCCATTCAACCGAAAGAAAATGTTATAAGTCTTCACGACAGACAGACAGACAGGCCGATAGACAGACGACAGGCAGACCGACAGATAGACCGATAGGCAAACTTACAGACACACCGATAGAAAAACTGACAGTGAAGTCGTCAGACAAACCGACTGACAGCATTATGACATGTCATATAACGTTAAAACGTATCTCATTTTCGGTTTTTTTTTGAGATTACAATACTTCCTCAGTACACGCAGGAAGTATTGTCCCTCGTATCTCGTAGAAACCATTACATCTAGAGCTACTACCTATTTGTTGAGCGGAACATTCCAAAACTCACCAGTATATGATTTCGTGGGGAGTTTGAAATCGTAATCCGAGTACGGATATGGAGTTACGTTGAAGTGTAATGCCATTAGAAATGGAATGCTGAAATTGTCTTCTCGCCGCTTGTAGTAACAACGTCACAATATAGAGTATAACAGGTTTTGCAGTCTCCCCCGATATGAAATCATTATATCAGGTCTACCGGAAAGTTCTGATGTCAACAATTTTCGACGGGTACATACTTTGACGGATATCTGGCACCAAAAACAATTCGTGTTAGAATTTAGAGGAACGTGATAGTAAATGAAAACCTATCCGGGGGGGATGTTGAAAAAAAAGCCAAAATTGAAAATATTAAAATCGCTCAAACTTCGTTCTTGATATTTCAAATGCCCCTGATCATTCTTGAAAAAAGTGATACCAGCAAGCTGTCAGTTGGACTGTATGCCAGTTCGCATTGCCAGTCGGCAGGGGCATTATGTCAAAATCCTGAAAAACGTCCAAAAAAAAACGACAAAATGTCAGACTAAGGGTCGATTTCACCAAGGTTGTCAAATCAACAGTCCGTTATTCTCCACCTATAGGGTAACAGTCCGTCAAATACAACGAATGAGCTTCAAGTTCCAATTAACAAATTTTAGCAACCAATAGCTATGAAATGTTGAACACAAAATACTGTCAAAGTTTAAGATGACAGCTTGTCATTGAAACATCACCAGCTTATTGAATTTCAAGAAATTACATATAATTCAGTCAAAATTTAAAGAAATGTTTTAATTACTATTGTTGACTTTTTATTCATGTTTATATTATTTTCTTCAATTGATATGCGATTTTACTGATTCAAGATCATCTACTGGGTGTTTTTTCCTATAAACCTCTTGCAGATAGCTATTAAGCACCTACTTGATGACAGGCTGTACCAAAAGATATTGCTCGTTTCAAAACATTCATTCATTTACTTGCCGTTCATCAGAAACATTATGGCACCTTAGATTGATATTCCCACAAAACCATTCAGGTTTTTTGATATCCATACATCCATAAAGTTGGATATTTTTCGTTGTTCAAGAACTGAACAAACATCCACACTATATTCACAGCGATTAAGAAATTCCCAAATATATGCCTTAAACCTACCAGCAAACCTAAAACCTGCAAAAAATCTACAAATTTGCCATATTTTTCTTTTTTTACGAGTACACATTCTAGGTTATATTTATATTAGACATTATTTGAATACAGCTGATTATTGCATTTCAAGACTCCCCGAGTGACACATGAGTGGGATCTGTCAACTCTTGGTCCCAGTCACAAAACATATACTTTGAAGAAGGTTTAATTCCATAATCAAGCGAATAACCAAAATTTCTGTGTTATGTGCCGCGGTTATAATATGGTTCAAGATGACACACGGGTTGATGACGTCCGTTACACGAATCGCTTGAACGCGTTGGTTTTAACCGCGGTTTTGTTGCAAGTTGTTTATTTTAGAAAAGCGCGTATATAATCTCTGATTATTTTTATTATCACTTAATAATCGGTGCTTTTTCGTCTACAACTGTATATGGAAAGTTTAAATAAGAAACCTTTCATAATATTCATGGGAGAAATGTTTTTTTCAGATTTTTTTTTGAATGATGGAACCATGGCTTTGTAGCTATGATAACTTTCAATTCTCTAAATTTTTCCGCATGTCAAAGAAAACACTTATTGATTCAGCAGAAATGATGAAAAAAGAAATTGGCAAAACCGTATTCAGTTGGATATCATCTAGTGAGTTTATATAGCCATATTTTAATATTCTTGTGGTATATGGCTACACAGGATAGTTTGTTAAGCATAGGAACTACATTTAAAGTGTCCCCAACAACCGTAATGAGTATAACTAATAAGGTGCTCCACTTTATGGTAAAACTGAAGTCAGCCTGTATCAATTTTCTCAAAAATGAAGCTGAAGTACAATAACAATATCCAATACCCGGCAAAATTCTAACTTGTCACATTTCAAATAATAACCAGAAATATAAAACTACTCTTGAGTTGGGTAAATACCACAATTTTGCGGTGATAACTATGACGTGACGTCACGGATCTTATAACCAAACTGATAACTACACTCGCTTGAATGGATCGGTTAATACCAACCCAAAATGGTAAATACCATTTCCATTTGGTTATCCGCTTGAATTTGATTCATGCTATTCATTGACAACACAGTGACTTGTGTGGTTGTCAGCGGCCATTTTGTGAGGGTGCGACATGGTTGCCAGATTGTGCATTAACATCCCGTTTCACCCCCCTGGTCCCAGTGGAGTAAGCTCTGCCAACTGTTGAAAGATACTCTACTATGCTTCATAAGACTATTCGTGGAGTTTTTCCCAAAATTGTTGCACAACACTTGAAAAAATGCAAATGAAAATTTAAAATTATTTCCATGACGTCGCAAAATACCTCCGCCGGTACCTCGGGTTATACATCTTGACAGTAG